GATGGGGTTTCACCATATTGGCTAGGCTGGTCTCAAACTGCAGAGTGATCCGCCTGCCTCGGTCTCCCAAAGTGCTGGGATTACAGGTGTGAACCACCGTGCCCAGCTATTGCCTGTATTTTCTATGCACTGCTGGTTACTTCTAGAGGCTTGGCTGCATTCGGGCTCAGCTGCTTAGGGAAGAGGACTTCCTAGGTGGCGCTGCTTTCTTGCTGCTGCATCTTGTCCGGAGCCCCCTTGTGCCTGGCTGTGCCATGTTTAGCGAGATTATGGTTGATCCGAGGGCTCAGGTATTGTCAATCAGCAGCACCTTTCATTATAAGGTTCCCCATTAACCTTCCACCTCATGGTTTTAGCATCTATTAACAATTGTCTCCATCTGTTATTTTAATAGGGGTTGCAAAATGGTGACGAAAAATAACTATGATTGTTTTTTCCACTTAGTAGCTGAATTTTTCTATAAAGAGAAACTCGGGTCACCTTGAATTATAAATTGTACGGGAAAGGCAGGGTAAATGCTTGATTCTTTCTTTCCTTACCCTTTGGTAGAACAGCGAGTTAGTGCCTTGGTGACCTTAGAAAAAAAGAGGAAGGAGGGAGCTGATGCGATGCTGCAACTAGGGATGTGATGGCTTCTGCTGTTTCTGCTTCTGTCAACAACTGGTAAGGTTAAAGAGTACTTTTGCTTAAAATTGTTCAAAAAGGCTTTTGTAAGCGTCATGAAAAACTGTTGGAGAAAGGGCTCTGTTCATCTCTGAGTGGTAATCTTCAATCTATCTCACTACTTTCCCTCTTTACGCCCATTTGTTCTGCTGGTTAGAACATTTAGGACATCTGTTCTCTGGAGGGATAGGGCAATTTCATTTGTCTCAGGTTATTTTTATTGTTTGTTTTGTAATTTATTATCGATCATGTGATGTTTCAACATTTCCCCTATTTGCTGAGTAAAATTTTGTAGTTCCATGTTGGGGGGACAACGTTGCATCCTTGGGGCCAAGATCTTGGGATGCCTGTGTTTCTCTGGAAATGATTCAAAGCTAAGTCTTGGGTTCTTTGTATTTATTACAAGATTTCGAGAGCCTCCAAGAAGAAGCTAAATAAACCAGAGAGGATAGACCTCTACAGAAAAACAACAAAATATATCTCCATTGTGCCTGCCTTAAAAATAGCAATAGCTAGATAATAAAAAATTTAAAAAAAACCAAAATAGCAGTAGCTTATATGGGATGTGGGTGATAAGAAGGAGAAGGATGTGTGTGTGTGTGTGTGTGTGTGTATTTGCCTGTGAACACTGAATTAGGGAGTGACCATGAAAAAGTAATTTGGGAAAACCCCGCAGCCTCTCGCGATCTGGATTTTGTGAGTCAGGGAGTCAGCAAAAGATTAAAAGATACTTTCAAGCCAGGTCCCTGTAGGTATAAGCACTCATGATAGATAGGATTTGCATTCACCCTATTGTGAACCACGTGGGTAGACGGGGACTGTTTCAGACGATGTGTGAGGTTCACTTCAGGGCCCATTGAATAATTTTGAAGAAGAGTTTTGACTCAAAAGAAAACTTGTCTTTGGGTCTGTCCTGCAAATATCAGTGGGTGTTTTGGGTCAAGGCTGTTTTTGTCTTTTTCCTTGAGAAAATCGAAAGTTGAGGCAAAAAAAAAAAACAAAAAACCCAGCCCTAACGATGGCAGATGGAAACAAGATGGAATTGGGATTGTGACCACACTATGGAAACCGTATAGATGGAAGTGATTACATGGCTTCGTCCTCATTCTACGAGTGCTGATTGAGCACCTGGTGTGGGCAAGGGCCCTGTGCAAGGATCTGATAGAACAGGGATGAGATTTTACCTGGGCCTGGAAGTGCCTATAAGGCTCTAGTAAAAAATGCAGAGGGTGAATAGGCATCACAATAGGATGTGGTAAGTGTTTCAGAGAGGATGTATTTGGGGTTCTCTGGAAACTCACTGGACAGATGCAGGCCCCAGGGAGAGTGTCTTATAAGATACATTTGAGCTGAGACCTGCTGGATGGGAGAGGGATAAGAGAAGGTGAGGAAACTCCATGTGAGAACACCCTGCCCCATCAGAGCTTTGTCCTCAAATTACCCAATGTAAGGTGGATGAGCAATAAAGACTAGGAGTGAGCAGAAGAATTGTAAGACATAACACCGGGAAAATGGCAGCGATCAATGACACAGGCCTTGCAAGTCGGTAAGACATTTGGATACTCTCTTGAGGACAGTGAGGCACTGAAGGGAGTGACGAGAGTCAGGCAGGTGTTTGAGAAGGCTACCTCTGGCTACCTTTGGCCCACGACAAGGCTCAGTAAACACTTGTGTCATGAGAGGCAGTATTGCACTTTCTTCTCCCTTGCTTTCGGACATGCAGTGGTCCAGCAGAAGAGACCAGTCCTGCACCTGTGAGGCGTCATTAACTGTGCAGGGTAGGGCAGCCCCATGAGTGCCTTCTCACCTGTCAAATGTGGTCCTTCCTTCCTAGTCTTTCTGTGAATTTTACACACTGAAGCCTCAGCCACAATCCTTCATGGTGGTTTAACCAGGAGGGAACCTCCATAACCTAATAAATCAAAGGAATCAATAAAACTAACTTTGCCATGGCCTGGTGCAGCTAAAAAAGCTAGTGTTTCTAAGAGACAAAAGCTGCTAAACATGCAGGATTTGTTCTCAGGAAACACCGACTTGTGTACTTTTGTGTCGGAGAATGGGAGGCAAAGAAAAAAAAAGACAGTATCTAGAAAGTAAGACCGAAACATACTTAGATATGGGCAGAGATAAGAAAGCTTCTTGACTTAAAGAGACAGCTGAATCTAACGTGCTTTGATTGGCAGAGAAAGAAAACGGGGAAGAAAAGGCAAAGAAACAAACTGATTTCCGCGGGGAGTGTAGTTTCTATTTAGAGTTAGAACAAAGGAGAAGTGCGTCCTTTCAAATTGTAGATTCTTTGGGGAAAAGAGGGACAGAACTTTATCTGAGTTTGAAATGAGTCTGGGTAGCTGCAATGGTAAAGTTGCTTCCAGAAACAGGTAAACCTGACTTCAAAAAACCCCGCTTCATGAAATATTAGTGCTTCACTTCAGTTGCTATCTGAAGAAGTGCTGGTAGAGAGAAGAGCTCGGGGGCACAGGCAGAGTCAGCTCCCTGCAGCTCCTGCAGTGCTAATTAAGGGAGGGAGCAACCGGGAGCTTGCAGTGACCAAGAGGGGGTTGAGGCTAAGAGGCCGCGATAAACAGGATGATAAACAGGATACGATAAAAGCCCTTAACCAAGACACAGATGGGAAGAAGCGTTAGAGCGAGCAGCACTCACATCTCAAGGTTAGTAACCTTCTCAGAAAAAAGATTGGATGGTTCTGAGCTCAACTTTTTAAATCAATTGTGTGCGAAGGGCTGGGGGCTGCCAGTGAAACCACGGCAAGTTGATGCAGCAGGAAAAGAGAGCTGCGAGAAAAAGCTGGAGTAAGTTAAGTGCTCGGTGTTCTGTAAACTGTTAGTTTAATGAGGGGTGCAGTTTGTAGTAAAAGGGTGCCATTTAAGTACTTTTTGTCAGTCTGTCTCTAGAATTGTGTTTATAATAGATCTGATAGTAAAGTTCTCGAGAATAAGAAAACTGAGCTAATTTTACCAGCATCTGGTCTATCAAGCTAAGTCTTCCTTCTCTCCAGCAAGACTGAAAAAGGATGAACTTAATTAAATAATAAATGTCCACGATCCAAAGATTTATTATCCTACTCAAGGGTTGGGAAGCTTTTTTTGTAAAGGGCCAGGTAGTTAATATTTACAGCTTTGTAGGCCACGTGGTGTCTGTCAGTTGTGACCTAACACCTCTTGGTTCCAGCATCATAGCACAAAAACAGTGGTAGATGGTATGTAACCAAATGAGCATGACTGTCTCCAACCAAACTGTTTATGGAAATCAGACAGTGGGCTGCATGCAGCCCTCAGGCCGTAGTTTCAGAGCCCTGTCCTGGAGGATCCCTGCTGAACCCCAGCAGGAGCCGGCGTTGACTGGAAGTGGGGTTCTACTGGTCACTCAGCAGTAGCCTCACTCCTGGGGACACGTGTATGACTTGCCAAGGTTCTAAGAGTATCGTGGTCTAGAGGAGACCATGCGGCCCACATTGGAAAGATTCTCTTAATGAGATGATTTGAGGAAGGGAGCAGAAACCCAGGCTATTGTGTTCCTGTGGAAATCTTACTGGAAGGATGAGCCTCTTAACAGCTGGGGCATCCCAGCAGAAGGCAGGCAGACAAACCCTCACATCTGAGAAAGAGCTGAGGGAGCAAAGGACCTCATACTGTTATCTTCCCAGCCCCAGTCACTTGTTCTGAGTTTAGCTAGATTTTCTGTTAGCAGTCCTCTGCTTTCCAGCATGTGAATTGTTTTCCAAGCATGTGTCGAAAGATATCAGAGCAGATTCTCCATCACACACATCAGGTGTTTTTGCATAAACTGGGGAAGGTGGGGTCATTGAGTCGACACCAGGAGACTCCACCCAATGCCCAGAAACCGTAGAGACATCTGGGGAAGCAGGACATATTGTAAGTAGCAGAAACAATGAAACTGAGGTGACAGGGAAGGTACTGCCTGCGTGGACAGCCTACGGGAAGAAGAACAGTGTGGCTGAAGAGTGTTCCCTGTCCCCACCCCGCCAGGCCACCTAGGAGTCTGCATTCAGAGGCAAGCTTGTGAGATGAATTCATGCTCTTGTGGTTAGCTGAGACATTTTTAATAGTAGAGAAATCCAGTAATATTTTGATTAATGACTTCCTTGAGGACAAAGCTCTTTTATACAGACAGTTCTATTAGAAAAAAAACCTCAAGCCAAAATCCCTTCATAAATCATGCAAAAAATGGCTGCCGACGTAACAAAAATAGCTCAAGCGCCGTCTCTATTTGTCTTTGGTTAGATGTTGATAAATAGGGCTCATCTCTAGCAAAGTCGTAACAGCTGAACTTTGTCTTCAGCTGCAAGTCTTTCTGCCCCTTTCGTTAGAATCCGTGACCTCTAGGGCCCTCGATTCCAGGGTGCAAATACACTTAAGTTTTCTTCATCTCTTCACTAGTTGGCTCTGGATGCCTTGGGAATAAGGAGTTCCTACAAGTTATTACCAGTTAGTACCCTTTTCCAATCCTCCTCCCACGCACCTCATTTCTTCATCCTGAGTGAGGAAGTTCGCTTTGGGCCTGATCGTAGAAGCCACCGAGAGTGGATGATGCTGTGTTTCATCTCGTTTCTCTTAGGATTCGAGGCAGTACAGTGTTGCAGATGCCTGGCTTGGCCCTCGGCCCTTGTACCTCTCTACCTGCCCCTCTACCCCACTTTACCCAGCCCTAACCCCTCCCTCAGAAAATATATATGTTTTGGCATTTGTTTAATAAACACGTAATGATTTTTTAAAATATAATCCCAGCACTTTGGGAGGCCGAGGCGGGTGGGAGATCGAGACCATCCTGGCTAACACGGTGAAACCCCGTCTCTACTAAAATACAAAAATATTAGCCGGGCCGTTGGTGAGCGGGCGCCTGCTTAGTCCCAGCCTACTTGGGAGGCTGAGGCGGGAAGATGGTGTGAAACCAGGGGCGAAGCTTGCAGTGAAGCTGGAGATCCGCAACCACTGCACTCAGCCTGGCACAGCAAGACTCCGTCTCAAAAAAAAAAAAATATATATATATATATATACACACACACACACATATATCATTTATCTGGCAACCTCGACTATCATGATCCTTTGCATTATTTATTTCCAGCTGTTATCACAAAGTTGTGACACAGAGTGTGTCCATGGACCCTATGCTTAGACTGTACTATGATAATGTACTGTATTCTTAGAATGTACTTGGCATCTTTGGACCGGGATGGTCGGGGGATCAACTGAAATAGATAAATATGTGGCCAACAGCAAGATGGGGTGGCGTCATCCATTGGTTAGACCTGGGGTGAATGTGAACTCTTGTTATTCACTAACAATAATTTTTAAAAATTGAGGTGAAATTCACATGACATTGTTCTCCTAAGATTTATTCAACGTAAGATTAAACTCTTTTTTTGAAACGGAGTCTTGCTCTGTTGACCAGGCTGGAGTGCAGTGGCACGATCTTGGCTCACTGCAACCTATGCCTCCTGGGTTCAAGCGATTCTCCTGTCTTAGCCTCCCAAGTAGCTGGGATTACAGTTGCGCACCACCACGCACAGCTAATTTTTGTACTTTTAGTAGAGATGCGGTTTCACCATGTTGGCCAGGCTGATCTTGAACTCCTGACCTAAAGTGATTCACCTGCCTTGGCCTCCCAAAGTACTGGGATTACAGGTGTGAGCCACTGCACCCGGCCAAGATTAAACATTTTGAAGTGTACAGTTCGGTGGCATTTAGTACATCTACAATGTTCTGCAACTACCACTTTTATCAGATTCCAAAACATTTTCATCATTTTCGAAGAAAACCCCATACCTTAAACAGTCCCTCCCTGTTCCCTCCTTCCAACAGTCCCGGGCAGTCACCAATCTGCTTTCCATCTCCATGGATTTAACTATCTGGATATTTCGTATGAATGGATTCTTACAAAATGTGGCCTTTTGTTTCTGCATTGTTTGACTTAGCATAGTGTTGCCAAGGCTTATTCATGTTGTGGCATGCATCCGCCCTTCGTTCCTTTTTATGGCTGAGTAATATTCCATTGTAGGGATTTGATCACAATTTGTTCATTCATTCGCCCATTGACAGACGTTTGGGTTGTTACCACCTTCTGGCTTTTGTGAATAACGCTGCTATAAACATTGGTCTACAAGTATTGGTTTGAGTATATTCTTTTGAGTATATACCTAGGAGTAAAACTGCTGCGTCATATAGTAATCCTGTTGAACTTTTTGAAGAATCTCTAAACTGTTTTTCACAGCAACTGCATTATTTTACATTTCTTTACAACTCTTGTGCAGCAGTACACAAGGGTTCCAATTTCTCCACATTTTCCCTAACATATTTATTTTTCTCTTTTTGATTACAGCCATCCTAGTAGATATAAAGTGAGTTCTCATTGTGGTTTGTATTTGTGTTTCCTTCCTGACTGATAATATTGAGCATCTTTTGGAGAAAATGTCTATTCAAGTACTTTGCCCATTTGAAAATTGGGTTGTTTCTTTTATGTTAAAGTGTGAGAGTTCCTTATATGTTATGGATATTAGACCATCATCAGATAGATTATTTGCAAATAGGTGCTTGCATTCTGTAGGCTGACTTTTCACTTTCTTGAAAATGTCCTTTAATGCGCAAAAGTTTTTAATTTTGGTAAGTCCAATTTATTTTTTGTCTTTTGTTGCCCATAGGTTTGGTGTCATATCTAGGAATCCATTGCCAACTTCCAGGTCTTGAAAATTTACCCCTGTGCTTTATTCTAAGATTTCTACAGTCTAAGGTCTTATATTTAGGTCAACCCATTTTAAGTTAGTTTTTGTGTTTCATGGGAGGTGGGGATCCAATTTCGTGCTTTGGCATGTGGCTATCCAGTTGCCCCAGGATCATTTATTGAAGAAGCTGTTCTTTCCCCATTCAGTGGGGGTTGGCACCTTGTTGAATATCAATTGTTCATAGATGTGTGGGCTTATTATTATTTTTATTTGTATAAATTCAAGGGGTACAAGGGCAGTTTTGTACAAGGGCAGTTTTATGTAGTGGTGAAGTCTGGACTTTTAATATAACCATCACGTGAATAATATATATTGTACGCATTAAGTAATTTCTATCCCTCACCCCTTCCTACTCTCCCATTCTTCCAAGTCTCTGATGTCCATTATTGCATACTATATGTCCATGGGTACACATTATTTTGCTCCCATTTATGAGTGAGAACACGTGGTATTTGAGTTTCTGTGTCTGAGCTGTTTTGTTTAATATAGTGGCTTCCCGATCTATCTATGTTGCTGCAAAAGACATGATTTCCTTCTTTTTATGGTTGTGTAGTATTCCATTGTTATATATACCACAGTTTCTTTATCTAATCCTTCACTGGTGGACACGTAGGTTGATTCCATATCTTGGTTATTGTGAATAGTGCTGCAATAAACGTATAAGGACAGGTATATTTTTGATACATTGATTTCTTTTCCTTTGGGTAGATACCCTGTAGTGGGACTGCTGGATCTAATGGTAATTCTATTTTTAGTTCTTTGAGGAATCGCCAAACTATTTTCCATAGACGTTGTACTAATTTACCTTCTCACAGACAGTGTATAAATGTTCTCTTTTCTCCGCATCCTGCCTAACATCTGTTTTGATCGTTTCAATTTCCTTGGTCTGTGTCTATGTATGTGCCAATAGCCACACTGTTTTGATTACTGTAGCTGTGTACTACAGTTTTGAAATTGGGAAATGTTAGTCTTTCAGCATTTTCTTCTTTTTCAATATCATTTTGGCTATTCAGGGCCCCTTGTAATTCTATATAATATGTTCAGACTTCAGAGTTGGTGGATTCAGTAGCTCAGTAACGCCATCTGAGCCCCATGTTCATTCTGTCTCTCTCTACCACCCTGTTTGTCCTTCAGTATGGCTGCCTGTGGTAACCAGGACAGCATTCTTGTTCATGCATAATGAGAGGAGATAAAAATAGAAACAGGGATGGAGAGAAGAGAAATTGTTCACATTCCGTGCTGTTTTTCTGGCATGCAATGTGAATAACTTCCTTCAATCTGATGGGCCAACTCAGGCCATAGTTGGCTTCTCTGACCCTTCAAATCAATCATAGTTTTCAGGCTGGGCGTGGTGGATCATGCCTGTACTCCCAACACTTTAGGAGGCCAACATGTACAAGTGCAGGATTACTTGAGTCCAGAAGTTCCAAGCAAGCCTGGGTAATGTAGCAAGACCCTGTCTCCACAAAAAATAATTTAAAAAAATTAGCTGAGTGTGGTGGCTCATGCCTATAGTCCCAGATACTCAGGAGGCTGAAGTGGCAGGGTCACTTGAGACCAGGAGTTTGAGATCAGCCTGGGCAACATAGCAAGTCCCCATCTCTACACACACACGCACACACACACACACACACATATATACACACGCACGCACAAAATCATAGTTTTTAGTAGAATAGCTTAGATTTGTCGTAATATCCCTGTGGTGTGTGGAAAGGAGTGGATACTCAAACTCAGGCACAATACTGCCAGGAGTGAGGAAAGTGAAGCGGGTGGTGGTCAGTTATCTTTCTAATCATTTAAATCTGATCATATTGTTCTGATGCTTAACACTCTCCAGTTGCTCTTAGAATTGTATCAGGAAGTGTATAAGGCAAATGTACTCCCACCCCACTCATCTCTACATCTTTCTGTTTCCATCTCCTCTCAATGGATCTAGCTACAATGATTGAAAAACTTCCACGAAGTCTCTGACTTTGTGCACCTGCTCTCCTATCCACCTGGACTGCTCGTCCTCACACCTGGCCATACCCTGCATGTGGCTACAGCCTCCCGCTTCTGCAGATTCCAGAACACACTTCACTGTCCGAGAGCCTTTCCTGACCACCAACCTGACACAGCCTCTGCTCGGCTGTAGCCCCATCCATTCTCTCCCACGCTGGCGTGTGTGGCTTCCTTTTCATAGCGTGACATGCACTTCATAACTGTGCATTTATTTGTGTGTTCGTCTGATGTCTGTCTTTCCAACTAGACCGGGGGTATGAAAAACTTTTTCTGTAAAAGAGCAAGTAGTATTTTAGACTTTGGCCATACACTGTTTTGAGATCACTCCAGGTGCAGTGTGTGTGTGTGTGTGAGAGAGACAGAGAGACACAGAGTGTGTGAGAGTGTGTGCAAATGTGTGTGTGAGCATGCGTAAGTGCATGCATGTGCGTGTGTGTGTGTGAGTATATGCATGTATGAGTGTGTTTGGAGTATGTGTGCACATGCATGTGATTGTGTGAGATTGTGTGTCAGTGTGCATATGTGAGCATGTGTGAGGACATGTATAAGTGCATGTGTGTGAGTGTGTGCATGTGTGTGAGTGCATGCATATGTGAGTGTGTTTGAGTTTGTGTGCACATGCATGTGATTGTGAGATTGTGAGAAAGTGTGAGTGTGTGCACATGTGAGTATGAGCATGTGTAAGTGCATGTGTGTGTGGATGTGTGTTTGAGAGTATGTGTGCACACACATGTGATTGTGTGAGATAGTGTATGAGTGTGTGAGACAGTGTGCATATGTGAGTGTGATAACGTGTAAGTGCATGGATGTGTGTGAGTGTGCGTGGATGTGAGAGTATGTGTGTACATGCATGTGATTGAGACAGTGTGAGCATGTGTGTGTGAGTGTATGTGTATGTGCGTGCATGCTGTGTGTATGACTGTGTGGTAGAGCATGTGTGAGTGCATGCGTGAGACTGTGCATGTGTGTGTGTGAGTGCGTGCATGTGTGGGAGAAAGCATGTGTGGGTTCATGCGTTTGAGTGTGTGAGTGTGTGTGTCAATGTGTGCATGTATCGATGTGTGTGTTCGTGTGTGAAGGGATACAGGTCTGAGGCAGGAGATATGAATGCAGGAGGGGTACTTAGGGAGACCCTGTCCTGAGGACCTCAGGAATTCTCTGGATTTGGTTTAGCCTGGGATTTGTAGTTTTATTTTTGCTGGTGCCTGTCAGGAGAAAATCTTGTCATTAGGACATAATAGATGAAATTAATTTTTCCAACTTGATGGAAGTCTTCCATGTCCTTGCCACTCCTGTTTGTTCTGTACAGTGACCAAGATTATCTTTCCAAAATGCGAAGTTGTGCGCACCCCTTCCTCCATCCGCTCTCGGGCGGCTCCACGTTCCTCTCGGATGTGCTGACGTCACAGGCGTTGCTGAGAGCCTGCTTTGCCTGGGGAATTGTGCTGGGCGCTGGAGTGACAGACATCAGCATGTCGCCACGGTTTCTGATCGCCACGTTTCAGTTCCTTTATGTGTGTCACTCACGTCACCTTTCAATCCAGACTCAGTCTCATTTTCGGTCACTTCCCCACCCGCAAGACTGCAGTCACACCATTTCCTGAAACACCCCCATTGTCACGCCTCTGTCTTTCTCCCACTTTTTCTATAAAACCTTTTCCACGATCTATTAGAATGATTTGTCCTCTCTCTGGCTGTCATAAAACTTAGCAAATGACTTTGTATAGAGATGATCACGTTTTGCTATGATAAATTGCCTTTAAAATTGATATGAGCCACTATCTTATGCATAACCTGAGAGCAGAGATGTGTCCTCTTATGATTGTATTTCCAAGGGACTAAGCAGGGGACTCGGCAACACTCAGTAAAATTTGGAGGAATTATTGGATTGACGTATTTACAAAACAGAGATAACAGATACCTCTTTTGACTACATCACAAAACAACTAGAGGCACAAATAATACCACAGATGTGAAAGCTTTTAGAAAATATGCCATATAAATACAAAGTAACACCATGCTTGATTATATGCACACATTACAATTTGTTCTGATTATCATTACATTGTTGATTTTATATTCCCTGAGAAAGTTCCCACATTAGATACTCATGCTGAGTAGTCGACACTTGCTGATACACTTTGAGACTGAGTCACAAAGTTCAGGGTTGGCATTAGATAAAATTGTCTTCGGTGGTTTCTGCTCCTACTTTTCCCAATTTTTACTTATCTTCTATTTTGACACTCTTACCAGGGTCAAATGCATTTATACAATTCCTCTTTTTATAGGGGTATACTTTTTACACTGACGTGCTAATATATTCCTAACAAGTTCTTAAGAATTAGAACTTTAGGCTGGTTCTCATGCCTGTAATTCCAGCACTTTGGGAGGCCGAGGTGGGTGGATCACAAGGTCAGGAGATCGAGACCATCCTGGCTAACACGGTGAAACCCTGTCTCTAACTAAAAATACAAAAAATTAGCCGGGCGTGGTGATGGGCGCCTGTAGTCCCAGCTACTCGGGAGGCTGAGGCAGGAGAATGGTGTGAATCCGGGAGGCGGAGCTTGCAGTGAGCCGAGTTCACGCCACTGCACTCCAGCCTGGGCGACAGAGCAAGACTCCGTCTCAAAAAAAAAAAAAAAAAAAAGAATTAGAACTTGTATTTTATCAAAGAAAGAAGAGAGCAATGATGAACCTGAAAAATGAATCTTGTTTTGATATTGAACTATAATTATGTAAGATATGACCTCTGGAAGAACCTGGGAGCAGGGACCTCTCCGTACTCTGTACTCTCTTTGTGACTTCTTGTGACTCTCTAATTATTTCAAAATCAAAAGTTAAATCTCGCATAATGGTAGATCTGCATGTGCTCTGGGCCACCATACTTTTGTATCTGATGGGCTTTGGATCTGTTTTTTGGTCCTCACCAACGCAGATGCCTGAGATCGGCAAGGAGGGAGAGCTGAAAGGAAGGCCACAGGATGGGCTGTCAGTACTGGGCATTGGCTCCCTCCACCCACTCCAGCCTCTGCCTCATCTTATGCTCTCAGTGAGGACTTCCCTGCTCCATGCATGCACCACCTTTCACTTATTGTTTATGTTTTTACATCTTTATTTTAGTTTCTGCCGCCTCCCCATAGAATGTAAGTTCTAATACTTTTTTTCGTAGTATTGTATCCTCATTGCCTACAGCAGAGTCAGGCACAGAGAATGCATGCAGCACATGTTTGTTGAGTGAATGACTCCTTGTAGAAAATGAAAGCTTGAAAAGAAGCCGACTGGTTCCCCGAGAGAGAAGTAACTCAAATCTGCCCATCATACGAGAGCAAACCTGTGTCTCTTAAGCTAAGGCCTTTTTCCTGTGTTCATACTTTAGAAAAAGAAGACACGACTGATAACATCTGAGAGGAAGGAAACTGCATTGTGCTGGGATCTGCATGTCACATTATAAAAAGCAATTTTTTTTTTAAATCGACCAGCCTTTTAAACAGTTTCCGGAGATGGATTATCCTACTTTACTTTTGGCTCTTCTTCATGTATACAGAGGTAAAGATGATCTTTATATCTTCATTTAAAATTTTTGCTCCTGTTTTTGTTCTTACGGGGTGGCATATTCAGAATTTACAATGCTCTTTAGTTGGCTAGGATCATTTCTCACTTGTTCAGAAAAACTAAAAGTTACATTTTCCAATGATCAGCAGGACACCTTTTTAGATGAAGGCAGAAACTGTCGTCCTTTACCGTGATCTCAATGCACTATCTTGCTAGGGCTTCCAAAGTTTAAGATACTGATTTGGTGTTTCTGTCATCAAGGCTAACAGAACTAATGTGATGTTGTATATTTCAGCTCTGTGTGAAGAGGTGCTTTGGCATACGTCAGTTCCCTTTGCTGAGAATATGTCTCTAGAATGTGTGTATCCATCAGTGGGCATCTTAACACAGGTGGAGTGGTTCAAGATCGGGACTGAGAAGGATTCCATAGCCATTTTCAGCCCTACTCATGGCATGGTCATAAGGAAGCCCTATGCTGAGAGGGTTTACTTTTTGAATTCAACGATGGCTTCCAACAACGTGACTCTTTTCTTTCGGAATGCCTCTGAAGATGATGTTGGCTACTATTCCTGCTCTCTTTACACTTACCCACAGGGAACTTGGCAGAAGGTGATACAGGTGGTACAGTCAGGTAAGGGCAAGTTTTTTTTTTTAATCCCTTTTTATCCACCTACAACATTTGTTTCTATAAAGCCCAAGTAGAAGCTGTAGAATGCTTTCTCGTATTTCTGTGGCATTCTCCAATTCCGTTTCTAGATGCTTTGATGTTACGACTTTGAAGGCGCGATCTTGGGAGTCTGTTTCATTTTTCTGACTGTGCTGTTGTGTCCGAGTAGAAATGTCTTTCAAATTTGAATGTAGTAGGAGAAAGTGCAGGTTTTATGTTGTCTTCATGATAACCTAAGCCTTGATTAAACTGATGTTGGCAACACATGGGTTCAGGATCCTGATGCCTTCCTTTCAGGGCTTTATCACAGCGACGTAGCACCATTGCCTTCTGCTGGACACTCAGCACTCACGTCAACCCCTGGATGTTCAAGGTTCTTCCTGCAGTACCAAATCTAAGTTAGTTTGTTTGTTTCTTTCTTTCTCTCTCTCTCTTTTTCTCCTTCCTTCCTTCCTTCCTATTTTTTCCTTTTTTTTTTTTGACAAAGTCTCACTTTGTCACCCAGGCTGGAGTACAGTAGCATGATCTTGGCTCACTGCAACCTCCAGCTTCTGAGCTCAAGTGATTCTCCTACCTCAGCCCCGCAAGTAGCTGGGGCTACAGGTGTGCACCACCACGTGATATGGTTTGGCTGTGTCCCCACCCAAATCTCATCTTGAATTCCCATGTGTTGTGGGAAGGACTGGGTGGGAGGTAATTGAATCATGGGGGCAAGTCTTTCCCATGCTGTTCTCATGATAGTGAATAAGTCTCAAGAGATCTGATGGTTTAAAAAAGAGGAGTTCCCCTGCACAAGCTCTCTCTGTTTGCCTGCTGCCATCCATGTAAGACGAGACTTGCTCCTCCTTGCCTTCCACCTTGAGTGTGAGGCTTCCCTAGCCATGTGGAGCTGTAAGTCCAATTAAACCTCTTTCTCTTGTAAATTGCCCAATCTTGGGAATATCTTCATTAGCAGCGTGAAAATGGACTAATACATCACGCCAGGCTAATTGTCATATTTTTTTTTTTTTTGTAGAGATGAGGTTTCAACATGTTGCCCAGGCTGGTCTTGGACTCCTGAGCTCAAGTGATCCAACTGCCTTGGCCTCCCAAAGTGCCAGGGTTACAGGCATGAGCCACCATGCTTGGCCCTGGCTCCATCTTTCACCTCTTCCAGGTTTAGCTAGAGAGGACACGTTCTTCATAAATTTGAGCTGTGGTGGCAGAAAGAACCCAATGATCCCTTGGAGTGTTTTTTGCTTTATCTACCAGAGATTGTGGTTTTGTCTTTCTAGTGATGACCACATGAACTGGTTGTAGTATATTGGAAACACTTGAGTTTAGAGTCATCACTTTCCATCAACCTTGTGTTAGGTGCTCCATTCCTCTAAATCTCAGGTTCCTGAACAGGAAATTGGGTTGGTAGTACCATTCTACTTGTTGAATGGCTGAGGGACGATATATTTAAAGAACTTGGCCCATGGTAGTCAGAGAATGATACATCTTATTATTATTTCCTATGCTTGTGATCCAAAAGGACTAATAATGAAATTTTCAGATATTAGTGACAATCTAAAGAAGGGAATATTTTTGGAGCAGTGTGTTTCTTGTGTGGTGTCTCTCAAATTATACCCCATGGCTGCATAGAGAAGAACATTATATGACATCTGACATAATAGTGCTTTATTTTTAAGGGATCTATGTGCTAAAAGAACAATTACAGAATTATATGAGGAATATCAAATGGTCAGGAGGTAAGAAACATCTTCATGTATTTAGTTTTCCCTTTCTCTTTAGGTGTGGCTAGGGTGAAGACTAATTTTGTGTATATAGGTAAGGCTTATAGAGTGTCAATCTGCAATGTTTCTTTAGTTAAATGTTTATTAAAGACTCCATTTCACCATACAAGTCCTCATTTGCTGTTGTATGTAGACACCTGTTAAATCCTGCTTGGAAGTTTTTACTGTGTAGTAAATCAGTCAGGCAAGTGAAGTAGAAGATTGGCAAAGCTTTTAACATAGAGTGAGCCATTGGAAACAAGGCCTGAGCCACCAAAACTAGAACAGGATGCACTCCCCACTGCTGCCTTGTGTGGTGCGACTTTAAATTTTGGGTTCCAAATTAGCTGTTTTGGTTTCTGTCACAGGACAACCAACTGAAAACAGCTCGACCTTTCAGGATAGAGGATGGGGCTAACCTGTAAAGAACTAAATGATGGTTGTTATGCAAAGGTAGGATTTTTAGCATCACATATGAATGGTCTTAGGAATATTTCCTGTTGTTTTCATCCAGATTTGTCATTACTGTTATGTTTTGAGGTTAGGAAAAGAGAGCTTTCCCCTTCATGGGGCTTAAAAAAATACAATGTGGAGATTTTCAGGCAGTTATCAGTCAGAGGAAGGGGTACCAGCTGTCCATCTAGTTTGAATTCTTCATGATGGTATCCTTAGCCATGATCCATTGCTCTTGTTTTGATCATTTATATTTTAAAGAGCAGATTGAGGCAATGGGCTAGTGAGAGCATTCTACCCAATTTTGAGAGTTTGAGAGCTTCACTTTTTTAAACTAAGAATGATAGTGAGTTTAAAAAATATTCCTTGTATTTCAAAATTAACCTTAGGTGTGCTTAAAATTTTCTTATGTACTTTAATAACAACATACTGGGATTGCAAATACTGTACTTTTGTATACTGTAAAGGGGGAGTTGAAAATACATTAAATAGTATAAAAAAATCAGACTTGGAATCTAGAAATCCTAGTTTATATAATAGATTGTAAGAACTTCAGAAGGATGAAGGAGTTGGGCCCTATGCTCTGTAAATATGTTGATTTTTGCTATTTACTGATAGCTTATTATATGTGGAATTTTACATAGTCTGGATCTTCATAGACTTCCTCCTTGAATCTCCTGTGTGCACTTGAACGTTTGTATTGCCTGATTTTACAGGTGATGACATTGAAGTGCAGTGAAGTCTAGTGGTCTTTCCAAGGCCCCAAGTTTCACATATGCCCCAGCAGATAAAGTTGCAAATTGATGCAACTGTCAACCTGGGGAACATGGGAACCCACCAGGGCCCTCAAAGAAGGAGACCTTGGCCATTGCACCTCCTATCAATGCTACCCCCCTCCAGCTTTCAGCCTAGAGTTTAAGAGCAAATGGGACATCTTATTCTGAATAAATGGTACTACTAATATGAAGTTATTTGAAAATATGTGTTCTTTCCAGAACAGGCATTTCTTTATTAACAATTGATTTAGAGGCTCTAATGGTAAGAATAAATCCATTTGTTTTTACCTAGTTTGTGAGAAAATATGCAGAGATGACTTGGGGGACAACATTTTCAAGGTAGCCCTTTCTGGCAGAGTTTGTGAGGTCATGGAGAAAATCACTGTCACCTACGTGTCTCTGGCTTTATTAGTCAGTTAAAGCAAATATAGTTGCATTTACAGAAATACCCCCCAAATGAATGACCCACTCAGAATGTTCTGCCACCTAGTGTTAACCGGGTGCCTGCTCTGTAGGATGCAACTGAGTGTCAGTTCATTTAATCCTTATGAAGCACCATGGGGAGATAATGTGTTCCTGTGATACAACAGAAGACACTGAGGTTCAGGGTGGTAAACTCACTTGTCCAAGATTCTCAAGCTGCCAAATGACACCACCAGAGTGACCCCAGTTGATTTTTCTGAAGAGTCAGAGACCTTAACTCCAGCAGAATGAACCATGGAGGGTCACAGTAGAGAAAAGTCATGCTGGACTTTGAAGAATTGGAACGAATATTTTAATTAGAGAGGCTGGGGTCTGGGGAAGAGAGAAGACAGAGAGGGAAGGGTGTCCTGGGGGTACTGATGGCTTAAAGAAGGGCACAGTGGAGGTATAAAGTTCATGCAGGCGGCAGAGCCCAGCCCTCTCTGACTAGGGCACTGGGTGTGTAGAAGATGTGGTTCACCCTGGGCTCTGAGGCCCTCTATACCCACAGAGGTGGCCTGAGAGGCAGCCTCACAGGAAAGGAAGACACTGTGAGGGTAAGACTCTCTCCCTGCCTGCACCAGCAAAGAGGCTTAGCTTATGATACTTTAGAGTCTCAGGAAAAGCTTTAGTACAGTAGATTCTGTGCTTAAAAAAGGAGTTGCAGCTCACCAGGGCAGCAGAATGTCAGAAATAAATCTGAAAAGTTATTGATGTGCCTAATGGAATTTTGACTTCCATCTGTAATGCAGACCAGGGGACATATCTGAATAGTTTTTAGAGAAAGACACAGCATAAAACCAGATTTTTCTTTCACCACCTGGAAGAGTACACTAGCTGCAGCCTTGTAGGAGAGTAAGACTTGCAGGCAAGGTAAGCAAATAGGCATCTATAGATTGGAACCCTTACATACTGCTAGCAGGAGGGTTCATTAGTATATCTATTATTTTTAGCCTGGCTTCTCCAGAGAAAGAGAACCAATGTGTAATACATGGAGATTTATTATAAGAAATTGGCTTACATGATGTATTAGTCTATTCTCACACTGCTATGAAGAAATACTTAAGACTGGGTAATTTATAAGGGAAAGAGGTTTAATTGACTCACAGTTCAATATGGCTGGGGAGGCCTCAGGAAACTTACCATCATGGTGAAAAGGGAAGCAAACGTGTCCTTCTTCATATGGCGGCAGGAAGGAGAAGTGCAGATTGAGCTGGGGGGAAAGCCCCTTACAAAACCATGAGATTTCACCAGAACAGCATGAGGGTAACTGGCCCCATGATTCAACTCCCACTGGGTTCCTCCCACAATACATGGGGATTATGGGAACTACAATTCAAGATGAGATTTGGATGGGGAAACAGCCAAACTATATCATTTTGCCCTGGCCCCTCCCAAATCTTACATCCTCACATTTCAAAATACAACCATACCCTTCCAACAGTCCCCTAAAGTCTTAACTCATTCCAGCATTAACTCAAAGTCCACAGTCCAAAGTCTCATCTGAGACAAGGCA